CAGCAGGCTTGGGGACCCAGGCACAGCTCGCTCCCGGACTGGCACACAATAGCTTCCTGGAAGAGCACGTTGTTGCCCTGCAGCATCAGCCTAGCTGTGCTCCCCCATCTGGGTTCTTCCTGAGGCCTCCTTTTACCCCCATTTCTGCTCACGGAAAGAAGAGTCTGCATGCAGGCCTGCCTCTTAGCCCCAGTGACTAGTCAGGATAGGCAGGAGCATGTCTAAACAGAAGTGCAGGGACTCCTAGGCCTCCAAGCATTTCCACAGGAGGCCGACAGAGGACACCAGCTTCCACGCTGCCTTCTTGCTCTTGGCTTCAGCTTGCTTGCTCTTTTTAGTTCAGTGACAGGCAGAGCATAGTCACTGACGTCCGTGAAGGATAGCTAGAAAAATCTGTCCATTACGTACCGGTCGAGGCAGGATGGCCTCCGCTGAAGTCAATGACAAAACTCTGACAGACTTCATTAGCATAAAAATCAAACCTATGTTTCTAATTAGGGTTACAAACATGAGAAACTATGAGGGAGACTGTGTTAGGATTTTGCTAACAAGGAGAGTTGGAAAAAGCTTAGAATTTCCTTTTTATGGGGAAAAAAATAAGTTTTGTGAAGGCAAGTTGCAGAAAACATGTTTTACAAAATATAAAAAATCTTCAGCTTTCAGCTGAATTTTTATGACATAAAACAGAGGCTCTTACCCAAAATATTGGGTCCCTTGGGTCACTTTGTAGGCTGATGGCAGGGAAATGGTGGGGACAAGTGGCAGGCATAGGTTTACACTGTGGAGTTGAATTTCCCTGGCTCCTGGGATCCTCAATGTAAGCAAGAAAATAAGAAGTTCCAGGACCCATCAGGGATTCCCCAAAGCCTGGATTCCAAAGTGGAAACCCAGACTCCTGAGCAGAATGCCAGATAAAATTGCCTGCTGTTTCACAGAAGTTTGTCAAAACTGAAATAATGCTCCAAAATATCCCATTTTGTTAATGAGCATTTCCCCTCAGAACTGTTTATTAGAAGATTTTCAACCAGCTGTCTTGCCAGCAACAACGTCCTGATGAATTTGGTTTGAGTTAGACGG